GAAACGGGGGGTGCCGAGTCTTGTGCCAGCAGCGGTCCGCGGCCGTGCGCTGCCCCCCGCACCCTGGTGGGAGGAGGAGCTTGCCCAGTGGTGGTGAAGCCTGGAAACGGCGGCCTGGTCCCCCCCCCCTGGCGCGCGTGATTGCGGCGGGGAATTTCGCGCTCCGCGGGGTCTATTTATCGGCCCCGGGGGTGAGGGCGTATGTTGATCGCGAGCTGACGCTAGAAGGCCGCGGCGTCTGGTGCGCGGCAGGAAGTCCCGCCGCTGCTGCTCGGCGATCGCGGTTTTCAGAGCAGCTCGCTCGGGCTCCCAGCGCGGGGGCATTTCCAGACGGCGTGCTCCTGATGCTCTTCCTCTTGCATGCGCCATTTGCGCGGCGGGAATGGGCCGCCCGAGATGTCTACCCCGACCTTTCCCTGCTGGGCGTGGTGGTCCCGGCGGGGGGAATTGGTGAGGGGGCCGAGCTGGCGAGCCGTGCGTGTGGCCCTTGCCTCTAGTGCAATGTAGCCGCGTGTTGGCGAAGCAGTCGAGGCCGTGTTCGACCGCGGCGGCGGCCCCGGGGTCGCGTCTGGTGGTTGGGGCGCGTCGCAGGAAGGACCTTTTCCGTCGCGCGCGGAGCAGGTGCGTGAACATGACAGGGGTGGCCCAGTCGTCGCGCGTCGTGCCGTAGGTTGGCCCGCTCCAGTCGAGTTGGGCAGCAATTTGCCACGCTCTATCCACTGGGCCTCCGTCCTGGAAGGCTTGCGAGTGTCCGAGCAGCTCTGTGGCTCTGGCGTCGAGACGGGCGTCTCTCCGCGCTGGCCTTCCGAGTGCGTGATATCACTAAGTTCGACAGCGTGCCCAGGGGAGACGATGGCGTAGAGGGCCAATCGTGAGGTCCACGATCTTCCTTTGGGCCTAATGGCCGCGAGCGCAGTGTTGTCATAGAAATTTCTGGCACTCTGGCTGGGTGCTTGAATGTCGGTGCCAATGGTGCGCGTGCTGGCGACGATGGGTCTGGCCGCTCGAGCTCTCGCTTGCGTGCCTCCGGGGAGCCGTTCGGATCGCGGGGGCCTGGCGACGGCCCGTCGCGCCCTGGCGTCCGCGGTGGCCTCCAGGTTCAGCTGGGCGTCGTCCGTCGCAGGCGCTGCGTTGATGAAGCCCCCGGCGAGCTTGGCCTGGTGGCGAGCCTGCGTTGGTCGCCCGTGAAGCCAAGGAGAGCGGCCACCTGAACGAAGGATTGCAAAAAAACCGAAGGATTGCAAAAAAACTAAAGGATTGCAAAAAAACCGAAGGATTGCAAAAAAACCGAAGGATTGCAAAAAACCGAGGGTTTTTTTGCAATCCTTCGTGTTTGAGCCCCGCGCCCACGGCCCGCCCGACCGCTTCGCCGCGGTGGGCCCCGTTGCCCGACGTCAGGCCCAAGGGGGCGGCTTCGCTGAGTGGCGCGTGCGGCTCCCTGGCCGCGGGGGCTGCGAAGCTGCCGTCGCCGCCGAATGTTGAACTCAGAGAGTGCGGCGCGTGCTGGTGCCGTCGTTTGGCCGAAATGCACGCGGGGCTTCGATGCCGTCGACGGAGAAAGATCTGCCTTGCAAGTGTCCGTTGGCGCGCGCCAGGGGTCTGGAGTAAGCTCCGCCCATGCGACTGCATTTCCTGTGGTTGTCGTAGAGATGTCGCCTGACCTGTGCAATGTCGGGCGGGCGCCCCGAATGCAGCGCCAGGTTGAACCAGGTGTCCGTGGCGAGGTGGTCGAAGCACCTCTGGTCCAGCGCAGTCCCGGCCAGGGGGGCTTGGAGGTGGCGTGCATGCTCGACCTGGAGCACGAACGTCGTTCTGACGTCCCCTGTTGTTGCGAGTGGGCCCCCCAGCTGGTTGGGTGGGTCCAGCGCGCTCTCCAGGATGTCGAGCTGTGGGGGGCTGGCCAGGCGTGCATCCGCACGGGCATGGCGGATAGAAGGCGCTGGTCGGTGGGGGGCTCACATTTTCCTTTCCAGAGACAAAGGTTTGTCATGTGCAGGAGAGGCTCAGAGATTCGCCCCGCGTGTTGCGTAGTCCTCAGCGCAGTGGCGAAGAGGCGGGGGACTCCGTCAGGAAGCGTCTTGGCTTCTGTATGTTCCACCCGTCCATGCCCCCAGCCCTGGCGTCGGGGCGGGTCCGCGTGAAATGGATGATAGCCTCGTCGGTCAAGGCGAACGGTTGGGCTGGTGCCTGGTCAAGGACTTCCTGGTGGCACTCCGCTTTGGAACGGGGCCTCGTGTTTCGGTATCTACCCAGGATTGGTTCCCACGTGTCCGTGCACGGCTCGGGTGTCGGCCAGAATGGCGCTCCGGTTAGTCTGCATCGGTGCAGAATCATCGGTGTCGCTTCAGCTGTCCGAGACGGAATCTCTCGGGGCGGTGGTTGGCGCATCGCCAGAATGTGACTGCGCGTCGGTGCCGTCCCCGCCTTCCGCTGGGCGGCTGTCTTTCCTTGCTTTACTCCCATCAGTGCCTAGTGACGCGTGAGGGGGCCCTCTTGTGCGGGGTGCGAGGGTAGACGGCATGAGACTTGTCAGCCGCTCTGACCCACGGGCTTTTCGCTCTGCCTCCGCCCGTGGCTCGCATTCGAACTTTTCAAAGATTGATGCGGTTGGATTTGTTGGCGTGGTTACGTCTCGTAAGCTGGGCGCAGGTGGGGCAAATCAGGTTGTCGACTTGCAATTCGGTGGGGAGTTCGTCGCAAACCCATACGTGCAGGAACTCCGTCAAACTGATGGATCGGTGGTGTCTGGCAAGGACGTCACCAGCAGCCCAGGTGCTCTTTATCTGCGCCCAGAAGCTGGGATGACTGGTGCCGTGCTCGTCTGAGTGTTTCCGGTGGGGCGCTGGGCCCTTCTTGATGGCCCTGAATTGCCGCGATAGCTTGTCGAGGCCGATAATGACCCGGCCGCTTCATGTTCGGGGTGCGCGAGCGGGGGGGCGGGGAGGCGTATGCGTCCTGGACGCGTGGAAATTTACTGTGTGTTGTCGGGTTTTCTATTTGGTTTTGCGGTGGTCATTTGCCACGGAACTCAGTGTGGAAATCGTGCAGGTTAGCGATGTCGAAGATTTTGTCGGCGTCGCCAGCGGCGTATGCTTCGTCAGTCCGCACGGAAAAAAGCGTACTTGATACGGTCTCCAAGCGCTTGCTATTCTTCCAACTTTCTCCTCGGGGAGGCCAGCGGGTAGCACACTGGGTGCCTGGTGGCATCGAGATCGAGGGGGACCATGAAGCCGAGGTTCTGCTTGGTTGGGAGGTCGCGTAGGGACGAAAGGAAGGAGGGAGAGAGAAGGATGATGATGAGGAGGAGATAGAAGGGGGAGGAGGAAGGAGGGTGGAGTAGGACGCAAAAAGTGGGGAGGAGGCTGGTTGGGGTGTTGAATGGGGCAGCGTGCGCATCCTCGGGAGAGGAGGTGGATGGGGACGATGGTCGACTGAGAAGGCCGTCCGCCCAAGCTTTCGACGTCTCGTCCTTGCTAACGACGTGCGAACTCTCGAACGATCCACTTTTTTAGTCGCCTTCTATATTGTGGTTGGTTCGTCGCGGGCTGATTTTTACGGTCCCATGCTTCGCAGACGGCCTCCAGAAGCAGCGGCCGCGGAGAAGCGTGCTCTTCTAGGACGTCTGGATATACGGGTTCAGAAGCAACAGCACGTCTGCCCCCAAACCTGCCCCTTGCTGTTTTCCGTCGACGACTTTGACGGGAATCCGACCGTGATGACGAGAAAAACCTCGATCCTGTAGACCATCTAACGTTAAGTCGGGCCAGTCCCCCTACAGGAGGACTATTCAAAAATAGTCCAAAAATCGTCTGGGGACGATTTGTCGAATCTTTTTGACAAATTTGTGCTTATTTTTTTGTTTGTTTTTGTTGTTGTTTTTTTTTGAGGGGGGGGGGGCATTTTCATATTTCTCGTCCGACGTCTCTCTGTTGGAGGACAGGCCCGACTTAAATCTCACTGTGCGCGTCGCGCCCCGCGCGGGGCGCGACGCGCGCGGCCATGTCTCCGCGCCCTCGCGAGGCCGCCCGGGACCAGAAGCGCAACACCCCGCGGCCCAGGCTGCGACCCGCGAAAGCGCGACTCTCTGCGCGCCTCCGCGGGCGGCTTACAGCAGGGGCTCGACCACAAGAAACCTTCCACAATCATAGGCGGCAGAACATCCACCCCGATAGTCATCACCCCGACGCGCGAAGCCGTTTAGTAAACGCGCCCAAAGAAGGAATCGAATAGGGCAGGGCTGCTTAGTAAACGCCCAGGGCCGTTTCGTAAACGCCAATTGTCCGGTCCGGGTGGCTTCTCCTCCCTTGATTACAGCAGGGGCTCGACCACAGGAAACCTCCCACAGGAAGCCCAACCCTGAAACCCCAGGGCGTCCATTGACTATTGGTGTGGGGGTGTGGCTCCTTTCTACAGCAGAGCCATCCAAACCCAAGAAGCCCAGGACACCCTGGAGGCGAGCAGGGTGCTTCTTGGTGTGGGTTTCACTGAAGGACCCTCGGCCCCCCGTCCTGCCCCGACTCGCAGCCGACGGGGCCGACCTCCTTCGTCGCCGCCAGCGTCAGCGTCAGCGTCGTCGTCGTCGTCGTCGTCGTCGTCGCCGTCGCCGTCATTGCCGTCATCGTCGTCGCCGCCACGGCCGCCGCCAACGCAACCGTTCTGCCGCCGCCGCGGAATCCGCTAGAGATGGACACCCAGAGCCCGCCCAGGGCCCACCCTTCGAGTAGGGGATCAACTACAACAGCGATTCATTCCAGAATTCATTTTTCAGCCAAATCTAGGAACAAAACAAGAAAAATCGCAGACAAGTCTCTACGTTTCTTGTCTCGTAGATTCGACAGACAAACAACTTCGTGGTGACTCAATTCTGTAATCGATCCCCTATTTGAATCCTGGCCAGCTGTTCGAGCCGCGCCCTGGAACGAGGACCCCGCCGCCGCCCCCGCCCTCGGCCCCGACTCGCAACCGATGGTGCCGACGCCGCCGGGCGGGCACGCCGCAGCCTTGCTCGGCCTGTTCCGAGCTGCGCCGCCGCGGCCGCCGCGCCGCGGCGACACCAGCCGCCAGTCCGCCGTCCTCATCGTCGCCGTCGTCGTCATCGTCGCCGTCGTCGTCGTCGCCATCGTCGTCGTCGCCGTCGTCGTCGTCGTCGTCGCCGTCGCCGCTTCGTCCTGCCCCGACTCGCAGCCGATGGTGCCGACCGTCGTGGGGGCGTCCTCGCTCTCGGGCGCCGCGGCCTCCCCTGCTCGCGCCAGCCGCGCGTTGAGGCTGCGCAGCTCCGGGTTGGCCTCGACGACGACGACGGCGACGACGGCGACGACGACGTCGACGACGGCGACGACGACGGCAACGACGACGACGGCGACGACGGCGACGAATTTGCCGACAACGGCGACGACGACGACGGCGACGACGACGACGGCGACGACGACGATGGTGACGACGACGGGGACGACGATGGCGACGACGAAGACGGCGACGACGGCGACGGCGACGACGACGACGGCGACGACGACGGCGACGACGGCGACGACGACAATGACGGCGATGGCGACGACGACGACGACGACGGCGACAACGACGGCGACGATGGCGACGACGACGGCGGAGACGACCACGGCGAAGACGGCGAAGACGACGGCGGCGACGACGGCGACGACGGCGACGACGATGACGATGACGACGGAAACGACAAAAGCGGCGACGACGAGGGCGAAGACGGAAACGACGACGGCGGCGGCGACGTCGACAACGACAACGGCGACGACGGCGACGAAGATGACGACGACGACGGCGGCGACGACGGCGACGACGACGGCGACGACGACGACGACGACGACGACGGCGACGACGGCGACGACGACGATTACGGCGACGACGACCGACGGCGACAACGATGACGACAGCGACGACGACGGCGGCGACGCCGACGACTACGACGGCGACGACGACGACAACGGCGACGACGATGACGACGACGCCGACGGCGACGACGACGAAGGCGACGACGACAGCGACGACGACGACGACAACGACGACGGCGACGACTGCGACGACGACGACGACGGCGACGACGACGGTGACGGCCAGGACCAGAACGTCGACAACGACGACGGCGACGGCGACGGCGACGACGACGGCGACGACGACGGCGACGACGGCGACGACGGACGACGACGGCGGACGACGGCGACGACGACGGCGGCGACGCCGACGACGACGACGGCGACGACGACGACAACGGCGACGACGACGACGACGACAGCGACGACGGCGACGACGACGGCGGCGACGACGAGGACGACGACGACGACGTCGACGACGACGGCGGCGACGACGGCGACGACGACGGCCAGGACGACGACGGCGACGACGACGACAGCAACGGAAACGACGACGGCGACGACGATGGCGACGACGACGGCGACGACGGCGGCGACGATGACGGCGACGGACGACGACAACGACGACGACGGCGACGACGACGGCGACCAAGACGATGACGACGACGACGACGGCGACGACGAAGGCGACGCCGGCGACGACAACGACGACGGCGGCAACGACGACAAAGACGACGACGGCCACGACGGTGACGATGACGGCGACAACGACGACGGCGACGACGGCGGCGACGACGACGACGACGACGGCGACGACGACGGCGGCGACGCCGACGATGACGACGGCGACGACGACGACAACGGCGACGACCACGACGACGACGACGACGACGGCCACGTCGACGACGATGACGGCGACGACAACAGCCAGGGCCAAGGCGGCGACGACGACGACGACGACGACGGCGACGATAACGGCGACAACGACGTCGGCGACGACGACGGCCACGACGGTGACGACAACGGCGACAACGACGACGGCGACGACGGCGGCGACGACGACGACGACGACGGCGACGACGACGGCGGCGACGCCGACGATGACGACGGCGACGACGACGACAACGGCGACGACCACGACGACGACGACGACGACGGCCACGTCGACGACGATGACGGCGACGACAACAGCCAGGGCCAAGGCGGCGACGACGACGACGACGACGACGGCGACGATAACGGCGACAACGACGTCGGCGACGACGACGGCCACGACGGTGACGACAACGGCGACAACGACGACGGCGACGACGGCGGCGACGACGACGACGACGACGGCGACGACGACGGCGGCGACGACGAAGACATCGGTGACGACGACGACGACGAAGACGGCGACGGCGGCGGCTACGGCGACGACGACTACGGCGACGACGGCGACGACGGCGACAACGACGACGACATCGACGACGACAGCGGCGACGGCGACGACGACGGCGGCGACGACGAAGACATCGGTGACGACGACGACGAAGACGGCGACGGCGGCGGCGACGGCGACGACGACTACGTCGACGACGACGACGGCGACAACGACGGCGACGACAACTGCGACGACGACGACGGCGACGACGGCGAGGACGACGGCGACGACGGCGACGACGACGACGGCGACGACGACAACGGCGACGACGACGACAGCGACGACGACGGCCAGGACGACGACGTCGACGAAGACGACAGCGACGGCGACGACGACGGCGGCGACGACGACGGCGGCGACGACGACGGCGGCGACGTTGACGGCAACGGCGACGGCGACGACGACGGCGACAACGGCGACGACGACGGCTACAAAGACGACGACGACAACGACGACGACGGCGGCGACGAAGACGAAGACGGCGACGACGGCGACGACGGCGACAACGACGACAACGGGGACGACGGCGACGGCGACGACACGACCACGGCGACGGCGACGACAACGGCGACAACGACGACGGCGACGACGGCGACGAAGACGGCGACGACGGCGACGACGACGGCGACGACGGCGACGACGACGACGCGGCGGCGGCTAGGCCGACGACGGCGACGCGACGACGACGACAACGGCGACGACCACGACGCCGACGACGACGACGACGGCGACGACGATGGTGACGACGACGGGGCCGACGATGGCGACGACGAAGACGGCGACGACGGCGACGGACGACGACGACGGCGACGACGACGGCGGGGGACGACGGCGACGACGGACGACGACGGCGACGACGACCGACGGCGACGACGACGACGGCGGCGACGACGACGGCGACGGCGACGAAGACGACGACGGCGGCGACAACGTCGACGAAGACGAAACGACGACAACGGCGACGACGGCGGACGACGACGGCGGCGACGATGACGGCGACGACGACGACGCCGACGACGACGACGGCGACGACTACGGCGACGACGACGGCGACCAAGACGACGACGACGACGACGGCGACGACGAACACGGCGACGACGGCGACGACGGCGCCGACGACGACGACGGCGGCTAGGCCGACGAAGACGACGGCGACGACGACGACAATGGCGACGACCACGACGACGACGACGACTGCGGCGTCGACGGGCAGCGATGACGGACGACGGCGACGACGACGGCAACCGACGCGACGACGACGGCGACGACGACGATGACGGCGACGACGGCGGCGACGACGACGGCGACGGCGACGACGACGACGACGACGACGACTACCACGACCAAGACGACGACGACGGCGACAACGACAGCGACGTTGCGACGCGGACGACGACGACGGCGACGACGAGGCGGCGACCCAGCGACGACGCGACGACGGCGACACGACCGGCGACCAAGACCAGACGGACGACGACGACGACGACGGCGACGACGACGAAGAAGACGGCGACGACGGCGACGACGGCGACAACGACGACAACGGCGACGACGGCGACGACGATGACGACGGCGACGACGACGACAAAGGCGACACCGACGACAACGACAACGGCGACGACGAGGGCGACGACGGCGACGACGACGGCGTCGACGACGGCGGCGGCGACGACGACGGCGACGGCGACAGCGGCGACGCCGACGACGACGACGACGGCGACGACGACGACGACGACGACGGCGTCGACGGCGACGACGACGACGGCGTCGACGACGACAAGGGCAACGACCACGACGATGACGACAGTGACGTCGACGGCGACGACGACGACGGCGTCGACGACGGCGACGACGACGGCGACGAAGACGGCGACGACGACGACGAAGACGATGGCCAGGGCGACGACGGCGACGATGACGTCGACGACGACGACAGCGACGACGCAGGCGGCGACGACGACGGCGACGGCGATGACGACGGCGGCGGCGACGGCCAGGACGACGACGTCGACGAAGACGACGACGGCGACGACGACGGCGACGACGGCGGCGACGACGACGACGGCGATGACGACGGCGGCGACGATGACGGCGACGACAACGGCGACGACGACGGGGACGACGACGACGGCGACGGCGACGACGGCGACGAAGACGGCGACAAAGACGACGACAACGACGACGACGGCGACGACGACGACGACGAAGTCGGCGACGACGGCGACGACGGCGACAACGACGACAACGGCGACGACGGCGACGACGACGACGGCGACGACGACAACGGCGACAACGACGACGGCGACGACGGCGACGACGACGGCGACGACGGCGACGACGACGGCGACGACGGCGACGACGACGGCGACGACGGCGACGACGACGACGACGGCGACGACGGCGGCGACGCCGACGACGACGACGGCGACGACGACAACGGCGACGACCACGACGACGACGACGGCGACGTCAACGGCGACGAAGACGACGGCGACGACGACGGCGACGGCGACGAAGACGGCGACGATGACGACGGCGACGACGGCGACGACGAAGGCCAAGGCGACGCCAACGACGACGACGACGAAGACGGCGATGACGACGGGGACGACGACGACGGCGACGACGACGTCGATGACGGCGGCGACGATGACGGCGACGTATGGCCACTACGACGACGGCGACGACGGCGACAACGACGGCGACCAAGACGGCGGCGACGACGACGACGGCGACGGCGACGACGAACACGGCGACGACGGCGACGACGGCGACAACGACGACAACGGCGACGACGGCGACGATGACGACGACGACGGCGACGACGACGACAACGACGACAACGACGACGGCGACGACGGCGACGACGACGGCGACGACGGCGACGACGACGGGGACGACGGCGACGACGACGACTGCGACGACGACGGCGGCTAGGCCGACAACGACGACGGCGACGACGACAACGGCAACGACCACGACGACGACGACGGCGACGTCGACGGCGACGACGACGACGGCGACGACGACGGCGACGACGACGGCGACGAAAACGGCGACGACGACGACGACGGCGACGACGACGACGGCGACAACGATGGCCGAGGCGACTCCAACGACGACAACGACGACGAAGACGGCGACGGCGACGGGGACGACGACGACGACGACGACTACGGCGACGACGACGACGACGATGACGATGACGGCGACGACGACGGCGATTACGACGACGGCGACGGCGACAACGACGGCGACCAAGACGACGACAACGACGACGACGGCGACGACGTCGACGAAGTCGGCGACGACGGCGACGACGGCGACAACGACGACAACGGCGACAACGGCGACGACGGCGGCGACGGCGACGACGACAACGGCGACAACGACGACGGCGACGACGGCGACGACGACGGCGACGACGACGACGACGACGGCGACGACGGCGACGACGACGACTGCGACGACGACGGCGGCTAGGCCGACAACGACGACGGCGACGACGACAACGGCAACGACCACGACGACGATCACGGCGACGTCGACGGCGACGACGACGACGGCGACGACGACGGCGACGACGACGGCGACGAAGATGGCGACGACGACGACGACGGCGACGACGACGACGGCGACGACGATTGCCAGAGCGACGACGGCGACGACGACGACGACGACGACGGCGACGACGACGGCGACGACGACGACGGCGACGACGACATCGACGGCCGGCGGCGATGGGCGGCGGCGGGAACTGGCGGCGCCGCGGCGACTCGGCGTCGCGCCGGCGCAAGTCGGAGCAGGCCGAGCGAGGCCGCGGTGCGCCCGCCCGGGGGTCGGAACCATCGGCTGCGAGTCGCGGCAGGACGGGGGCCGAGTGCGGTGGCTGTGGTGCCTTCGTCGTTTCATGGTTTTTTTCTGGCCGTTCCTGGAAGTTCTCATCGCCGCGGCCAGACGCAGCTCGAACAGCTGGCCAGGATGGACCCTGGGCGGGGTCTGGAACTGCTTTTTCCAGGGTTTCTAACGGCGGTGGCGGCGGTTGTGGTGTTGGCGGCGGCCGCAACGACTACGATGACGACGTCGACAGCTACGCTGACGCTGGCGGCGAGGACACGAGCGGGCCTCCCAGTACTTCCGCTCTGCGGCGTCGTACACGTCTCCAAGGGTGCGGCTGCTGCCGCGGCCGTCCTGAGCGGCCTCGGCGAACTCCCGGGTCCAGATGTCTACAAAGTTCCCCAGCGCAGGCTCGAAACAGCCTGCGGTCACCACGGTGAAGATCGGCCACTGCCGAGTGCCGAAGTAAGACCTGTAGCCAGGCTTCCGCATGAACTCCGCTGCGCCGCCGCTGAGGCAGAACTGGTGGAACAGCACCAGTCGGCGGCGGGGTGCATGCACCAGGGCCTCGTGGTGCGCCTGGAAGAGCATCTGCGCGTAGAGCCGCCAGCGCCGCTTGGGCGCCCCCCAGTCCCACTCGGGGTGCGGGTCCACCTGCTCGAAGCCCCTGTAGGACACGGCGTCGTACAAATGGTCGTCGCCGGCGGGCGCCGGGTACGGGAAGTGCAGATACCACTCGTGCTGGCGCGCGCCGGCATGAGCCGGGTGGGCGTTGCCGTGAGACACCAGCAGGAGCAACAGGCTGCCGACGCCCCGCCGAGGCACCACCCTCCGAGACTGCCTCTCGCCCAGCGCACTCGCGTCGCCGCGCAGCACGTGGAGCACCGTGGCGGCGTTGACGTCTGGCCCGTCGTAGTCGGACCCGCCGTCGGCGAGCAGGCGAGCGCAGGCGCGCTCGGTCTCCAGCAGGCGGCCCCGCAACATCGGCAGCAGAGATGCGCGGCCGGCCAGCGCTGCGGCAGAGGTCTCGTCGGCGCTGGCACGGCGCAGCCAGCTCAGCGTTTCCTGGGGGGGGCAGGATGGTGCCTTGGACGGGCACGGCGTCCTTCTGCTCATGTCCGAGCTCCCTCACTTCGTTCCACGGCCCATATTCTTCCCTAGGGAACTTCCGGTAAGGAGCGGAGCCATGCTTGAGGCTCTGGGAACACCCGGAGGTGAACGAAGAACGCCACAGGAAAAGCAAGGGACGGACCTAACGGAACACCGAGCCCCTTCTGAAACGAAAGCGAACCTAGCCTCAAAGTTTCGGCTGTACATTCGAAGCATGACCACAACAACGCGGGCCAAGTACACGAGCCCCTTCGCCCATGACCCCCCATGGTGATGGCCAAAACGAGTTAGCACTCCGAGGTGGAGAGCCCCGAACACGAAGAACAAAAGGGCACCCCTTCATGGCCAGGGCTGTTCTTTACCCTCGTGCCAGATGTGCGGCCTCTTCTCCCCCTCCCGCTAATTACCTCCCCCGCTCTTCGTCGCAGTCGACTCGGGTCACCTGATTTCGAGCATTGCGCCCCGCGATGCGCGACGCGCGGTCATCTCTGCACCCTCGCGAGGCCACTTAGGCGAAGTGCAGCCCTCCAGCCTAGGCCGCGACGCGCAAATCGCGATTGCCTTCGCGCCCTTGGGGCGACCTACAGTCCCCCAGACTAAAAAGTCTGGACCGAAAAGGTCGCGCAAGAAGCGGTGTGCGTTTCCCGCTAAGCCGCGAGGCCACAACACACTGCTGCTGCATACACCAGCTTGCGACCATCTGGTGCATCCGCCGTCCTTTAAGCTTATACTGGGCATTCCGCCCAAACCATCCTCGGGGCACACTCTCTGGTTGCCTTTTACTGCGACGGCCGATTTTGTCAGGCCACCGGAATCTGGCGACTTCGCATGAGGCTTCCTCAATCAAACAAGCTTTCCGGCCTAATATCATACTGCCAGGCATACCGCTTTCGCTCGAGACTTCCTGAACATCGAATTTCTGGTCACCTTCCATGCCGCCAGACAATGACGATTCCGCTGAAGATTTGCTGAAGCCGCAATTTCTGGCCCTACTCCATGTCGCCGGCATGTGACGATTTCGTTTGAGGACCGTTCGAGGATCGCGGAGCGATGGGAGATCGCGTATCCAGGACTCGAGGATCCAGGAACGATCAACGGTCGAATATAGAGGATCGATTGAAGAACGAATCTCGAGGGGGCGGTTACAGTCATCGTGCTACCATCAAGGGACGCCGAACAAAGCAAGCAAGGGGCTTTTCTGGCCACGGCGAGCCTCGGCCACGAACAGGTTCCCCGACCTGGATCTGAGGAGCGGCCAGAACGCCAGAACTTCTCGTGATTGCCAAGTGGTTCTTCTCTTAGCGTCCTGGGTGCACTTCGTGAAGTGCCGATCCAGACTGAGGGGCGGCGCCGCAGGCGCCGCCAAAGGAGTACCACGCCGACCTAAGGAATCCGTGCGGGCCTCGGACAGATTTTGTCGATGCCCGCTTGTCCTAGTTCGACCGTTGTCAGCGGCTGCGTATACACATTTAGCGAGGAGGGAGAGGAGGCGGAAGGAGGATCTGTGGCCTTCCTGATCGCTCGCGGTCCTCTGGTTCGCGCTCTCGCCTCGGCGCTACTTCCTCGAGCAGCCATCACACACATGCCTGGAGGGCGGTAACCTCTCGAGTACACTGTGCTTTCCCACACCGTGCTGTCGAACCCTGTATGTGGTCCTTACTTTTGGCACAGCAGGAGCAGCAGGCTTCTCACTGTTCCTGTCATCCCAGGGCCACTTTTGCTGCGGCAGGGCCATGCGATTCCCACCATTCCAGCGCTCCCAGGTTCATAACCCGTGGCAATCCGATGGGGCTTTCACCGTTGCAGCGGGGATCAACCATGGTAAAGGAGTACTTGGTCGCACTTAGGAAGATAGGCGTAGGCGGTGAGGGTACATTGAAGCATCAAAGGTGTGCTGGCTTTGCTCTGCTGCTGCTGCTGCTGCTACTGCTGCTGCTGCTGCTGCTGCTCCTCCGCGTCTTTATAAAGTTCCAGAATGGGGCCGGATTTGAGCGCGAGGCGCTTGCATGCCACCGCGCAGCCTGGGTCACGACGTTGTTACGCAATGCATCAACCGTCACCTTTTCTAGGCACATGGACACACTTCTGGTTCGAGGCCCTCGCCGCGTCTTTCTGAAACGATTCCAACAACCCAAGGCCTCTGGAATTAAGGGGCATGTTCGTGATATTCAAGCTATTGTAGTTAACCTCTGGAGCACCGAGACTGCCCAGACATGCCTCCGACAACTGCTGCCAAGGACGCCCTGCGCCGGAAATCCGCCGATCCCCGCTTTTTCCAGGGGTGGGGAGAGCGCGTGGGATGCTTGGCCGTCCCTCTCGAGGAGGGGGGCGAGGAGGGGGCGAGGAGGAGGGGGCGAGGAAGGGGGGGGTGCGGGCGAGGAGAGGGGGGGTCGGCGGACCGAGCGCATCGCCAACCGCAGCAAAGGCAGCAAGGCCGAGTGCGGTAGGGTCGCGCGGCGTCGGCGCGCGCAGAGGTTTTTGACACCGCGTCGATCGTTCAACCTTGCATCGATCGCGGCCCCGATCCTTTAAGGTTGAATCCCGTCGGGTCCTGCGGCGTTGCCGTGTCTCTCGGTGCTTCCGCATCGCTCTATCGTGCGGAATTCAACCCTGAACGCCTTCGCCGGCGTCGCCGGCGTGCGATCGCCGCAGGAACCTATCGTAGGAGGAGGAGGAGGAAGAGGAGGAGGAGGAGGAGGAGGAGGAGGAGGAGGAGGAGTAGGAGGAGGAGGAGTGAGGAGGATGAGGAGGCTGGCTCCTGCAACTGGGCGATCACGATGATACGCTCCCGCCCGAAGAGGTCCCGCAGCCGAGCGTACGTCTCGCCCACCCAGTGCAGGGAGCAGTGCCCAGCCAGGAACGGCCTTGGACAGCCCCTGCCCTCTCCCCCCCTTGGGGGGGCGCGTGCTAGGACGAGGCGGGAGGGAGAAAGGAGGAGGAGGAGGAGGACGAGCAGGAGGAGGAGGAGAAGGAGGAGGACGAGCAGGAGGAGGATGATGATGATGAGGAGGAGGAGGAAGAGGAGGAGGAGGATAATGAGGAGGAGGACGAGGGCGAGGATGATGATGAGGAGGAGGATGAGGGAGGAGGAGTAGGAGCGGTAGTAGTTCCGAAATGAAGGGCTGGAGGAGGAGGATGATGATGATGATGAGGAGGAGGAGGTGGAGCAGAAAGAACGAGATGAGGGGGAGGATGATGGGAGGAGGGAAGTGGCACCTGAGCCCTGGTGTCCCTGATCTCCGTTTCATCTGTCCCTCCTCCACCTCCTCCCCCTCTTGTCTGTCCTCCTTCTCCCTCCCCTTCCTGTTGTCAGTACCACTGTCAGCGGGTTGTAGAATCGCCCCAATCACCCAAAGCAGAATGGACGATGTTGCGGTAAAAGCAGCAATGGGCACGTTTGCACTTCCTTGTCCTTCGTTGCGCAAGCGACGGCTTGGCCTGGAACTCCCCAGAGCGACAAACCTCCGATCTCCTCTTCCGCCGCTTGGGAAGGTTCGGCGGGGGGCAGCAGCACTTCTGGGGCGGCGCTGCCGGCCCTCACTACCGTGGGCATGCTGTGGGGAGCTCGACGCAGACGTGCAGGGATGTGATCGAGTCTCTCTCTCTCTCTTGTTCTGTCCTGGCAGGCTTGGCTGTGATGTGTGGAGCCCCGTGGGCAACTCACCTGCCTGGCGCCCTTGCTCCTCCTGCTGAGCCGGGTCGGGCCCACTCTGGGGCCAGCACACGGGCGTCAGGGTGTGTGTGGTGCAACCTGTGTGTTGCAGTCTACGACGTGCCATCGGTGTGGTACAACCTGCCGTCGCTCGGACGCCCATGCCCCGTGTGCAGTCTTCGGGCTTCGCGCGAGCTCTCCCCCGCAAGATGGCCCGAGATGCGCCTCGATGGCCCGCGCCGAGAGAGCAAGCACACGCCCGAGCGATGCCAAGACGAGGGCGACGAGGCGACCAGCGGCCACCGGGCGAACGCCGGGCACACCTGGCCGAGGCGCGAGGCGGCGACGGGCAGCCACTGGAGGAACAAAAAAAACCCTGCACGCCCAGCTACGGCAAGTTCGCGTCGTGTCGACCCCGGCATTGGTTCCTGACCCCGCGGGGGTCGTTCCGCCTCGAACGATCGGCCGCTTCCGAGACGCCCGATCGTTCCACGTCGACTGATTTTGGGCCTCCCGCGGCGTTCCACGTGGAGCGCCGGCGGCGGGGTCGCCGCCGGTCGACACGACGCGAACCGCAGGTCGGGCCTGTCCCCCTACAGGGGGATTTTGGACGAAAAATTGAAAATGCCCCACAAATTTTGAAATATACTCAAAAATAATCAAAACATCGTCCCCAGACTGATTATTAAACCTACTTTTGAATACTTCCCCCTGCAGAGGGATACGCCCGACTTCACGCGAAGCTGCCGAGGCACGAGGCGGCGACGAGCAGCCTCAGGACGAAGACCCTGCGCGCCCAGCCAGCGCACGGGGCGGCGGCGAGGCGGCGGCCTGCGGCCACCAGGCGAACTCCGGGGCACACCCGGCCAGCGAGCGAGGGGCGGCCACTGGGCGAAGCCTCGAAGCACGGAGCCGAGGCCGTGGAGGCCGAAGATGAGAGCTCCCAGGCTCTGTTTGTGAGGAATGCGTTGGCGCCCAAGGTGCCGAGTTCCAACAGGCTCTGCTCGGGCGCGGCTCGATACTCAGCAGGAGCTGTCCTGCGAACGTGGCCGGAGCTCGGCCCCATCTCGTGCGGTGGAAGGGGAACGGATGACGGGAGGACGAGGGAGTGGGCAGTATAGCAGGCTCACCGTAGCTCGGACTCCGGCGGTCGTAGGTTCATGCCCACGAGCTCAAGGCTTCCGTTGGAATGCAGCGGCTGCATCGGTTTGCGAGTGCTGGGGAGGACGAGTCGCACTCAGACTCGACGCAGGGAAGCCAACCACCATCCTCCTCCTCCTCCTCCTTCTCCTCCTCCTCCTCCTCCTCCTCCTCCTCCTCCTCCTCCTCCTCCTCCTCCTCCTCCTCTCGTCGCCGTCGCCGCCACCGTCGCCGTCGCCGCCACTGTCGCCGCCGCCGCCGCCACCGTCGCCGTCACTGTCACCGCCGCCGCCGCCGCCGTCACCGTCGCCGTGGCCGTCGCCGTCGTCGTCGTCGTCCTCCTCCTTATGTCACTCTTCCCGTTCTCGTCCTCGTCCTCGTCGTCGACTTCGTCGTCAACTTTATCGTAATCGTCTTCGTCGTCCTCCTCCTCGTACTCATGTTCCCCCTGTCCCTGCCCCTCTCCCGGAGACGTCTCTGGAAGTCTCTTGAGGTCGCCGCTTCACGAGCATAGTTGAATAATATATCCTATGCTTTGCTATGCTGCATGCTCTAGCGCGGTCCCTGCATTTCGACCGAGACTTCCCCTCAACGCTCGTCATCCTCCCCGGGCCTAGTTGAACCTTCTGTGCCCACCTTGAACTTTCTGTGACTTGCAGGAGTCTCTTGGAGCCGCCTGGGGCATCTGAGCGCTCCAATCACCTCCTGGTTCTCCAAGGGCTTCCTGGCGGCCTCCTTGGGCCTCCGTGGGCTTCTTCTCTTCCTCGTCCCCCCCCTCCCCACCTCCTCCTTCTGCTGTTCTTCCATCGCTTGTCTTTATAGATCACTCATCCCTGTCGCACCGCGAAGGGCCGGTCGAAAGGGCGGCCCGGGCGTGTCGCCTGAGACTTCCCCACCATTTATGACCCTGATGCTTAAAACTTGACAGCCGTTTCACAGATGGAGGCCGGATCGCATCCAAATTGTGAGTCTCGCCTTAGCGCCGCGCACATTCGTTTTAAGCACTTGCAACAGTTTGACGAATTGAGGGCGGGTCGTTTTCAAAATGTGGCTCTCGCTTTTGGTGCCGCGCACATTCGTTTACAACACATTGCAAGTGCGTCGCGGATTGAGGGCGGGCCGTTTTCAGAATGTGGCTCTCGCCTCAAAGACGCGCACATTCGTTTTAAACAGTTGCCAGAGTTTTATGGACTGAAGGCGGGCACTTTTCAAATGTGGCTCTCGCTGTAACGCCGCGCACATTCGCTTTGAACACTTGCAAGAATTCACGAACTGAGGGCGGGCTGTTTTCGAAATGCGGTTCTCGCCGTAGAGCCGCGCACATTCGTAGTAAACATGTGCGAAAGTTTCGCGGATTGAGCGCGGTTCCTTTTCAAAATGTGGCTCTCGCCCTCGCGCCGTGCACATTCGTTTTAAACAGTTGCGAGAGTTTCACAGATTGAGGGCGATTCCTTTTCACAAAGTGCCTCTCGCCTTACCGCGCGCGCATTCCTTTTAAACATTTGTAAACACTTCGTTGGTTTTCATTCCCCACATCCAAAGTGGGGTTCTTGTTTTCTCTGCACACCCCGCGCAGGAACACTCACCCCACCCCCTCTCCTCTTCTGCCTTCGCACACTCACTCACTCACTCACTCATCATCATCACCACTCACTCACACTCACACTCACTCACACTCTCTCATCATCAACATCAGCATCATCACTCGCGCTCTCTCACACGCTCAGTCACTCACATACTCATCATCATCATCATCATCATCATCATCATCATCATCATCATCATCATCATCGCATCATGTCACACGCTCACTCATCGGAGGGAGGAAGTCTCAGGCGGGAGTTCGTCTGTGAGTGAATTGTGAGGAAGTCTCAGGCGGGAGCCCCCTCCCTATGGGGCCCGCAGATCATGTTGGTAATCCGAGCGGGTCATCCAAACCCTGTAACTGTCGTCACTTTTGGGCTCCTCAAGCTTGAGTACGGAGGAAGTCTCAGGCGGGAGCCTCGTCTGTGAGTGAATTGCGAGGAAGTCACAGGCGGGAACCCCTCCCTATGGGGCCCGCGCTTCATGTTGGTAATCCGAGCGGGTCATCCAAACCCTGTAACTGTCGTCACTTTTGGGCTCTCGCGCTGCCAGAACGCCATTCCCGGGCCACATTGTGCATGCCCGGAGCCAACTGTAGGCCACTTCGTGTTCTTCGTGTTCCCAGAACACCATTCCCGGGCCACATTTTGAAACCCCGGAGCCAACTGTAGGCCACTTCGTGTTCTTCCTGTTCCCAGAACACCATTCCCGGGCCACATTCTGGATGTCCGGAGCCAACTGTAGGCCACTTTGTGTTCGTCGTGTTCCCAGAGCGTCATTCCCGGGCCACATTTGCGAATTTCGAATCCGAGGAGGGTCCTCGGAATTCGTATGCCTGTCGTCACTTTTGGGTCCCCGCGGCCTGAGTATGGCTGTCATGGGCCTGCTTGCTCCAAAGGGCGACTGAGGAGCTGACGACGACGACGACGAGACAGCGGCCGGGCGCAGGGGTAACCTCTTGTGCCCGCGCCAGGGCGAGAAGAAATATACGCAGAAGAGACAGTCAGGACGCCTCACCAACCACGAGGACGACGGTGAGCGCTTTTTCCAGATTCGCCCAGAGGATTCTCATGTGGGGTCCTTCCGTCGGAGTAATGGTGTAACGTGCCAGAACTGGCGCTTGGAGTGGGCGCAACAGTTACGCCGATTCGCGGTGTGAAGTTCCAGGAATGGCGTTCTGGCACGATTCAGGATCGCCAAGACGTAACAGTCAGGTTCGCTCGTGGCTTTGAAATCCTGAGAATGAGAATGGTGTTTTGGCGCGCTTCGAGATGTTCACACGGCTGTGCCCCGACGGCGCAATCCCCCTAGTGGACATGACCCTTTGTATAGGGGCCTATGAAGAGGGATCCTGGAGGGAGGGTGCATCTCAACATCGCTGATGAGTCTCGGGCTTACACTGGTCCTCCTCCTCCTCCTCCTCCTCCTCGTGCTCCACCCCCCTCCTCCCTTCTCCTCCTCCAAGCGCCAGCTGGCACGAGCCGCCGCTCTGCGCCAGCCAGCGCCATCGGCGCTTCCCCGCGCCGCCTCCCCGCTCTCCCCTGCTCCCGTCCCCTCGGCCGCGCTATGGAGGCGCCTCCCGCGGCCACCGCAAGCCGCCGCAGGCCGCCGCGGAAGGCTGCCGCGCGTCGCGCGCAGTACACGAGGGCCGAGGCGCGCGCGTCAGAACACCTTCTGCGCGCCTTCGTAGCCCTCACCAGCCATCGTGGCCGCCAGCCATCGCAGCTGGCCCAGGCGGTGGCCTCGGCGCTGGCGGCGGCGCCAACGCCCTCTGCGCAGCGGGGCGCAGCGGCCTCTCCCTCTCCGGATGCTGTCGCTCCCAGTGCCCATGGAGGCGACGCGGCGGCTGCAGTCCCCTCGTCTCCGCTGGCAGCGGGACCAGCGGCCATGGCTGCCGAGGCGGGCTTTCCAGTCCACGGGGTTCTCGGTCAGCGGCTGGCGGCAGCGGGCGACGACGTGGTGGTCCCGGAGGGCGAGTTCACCTCCCCCTCTGCCCCCCCCTCTGCACGGCCTCCTTTTCTTCCCCGCGGCACCCCAATCCCAGGCTTTCCGCCTAGGACGCGGGCGGAGGCTGATCCAGGCCCCAGCCCTGCCACTGCTCTAGGCCTCGCGCAGGGCTTATGCCCGCCACCATTTTTTCGGCAAGTCTCTGTACCTTCACGGCCGTCAAAGCCAGTACCACTCCCAGTACGCCCTGCAGCGCCAGCGCCGCCAGCACCTTCACGACCGACAGGGCCGGTGCCAGTACCCTCGCGCCAGCCAGAAGCAGTGCCAGTGTCAGCGCCGTCGCCAGTGCAGCCATCATGTACGCCACCGGGGATCACAGCAGCGGAGGCGAGGGCCTGCCGCGCTGTGCTGTCAGCCTCGAGTAATCTGTTCGCGGCCCCGCAGCAGTCACAGGCAGACCCAGTGCCAGGGGCGCAGCTGCCGAGCCCCACTGTGCAGAGTCCGCCACGCCACGACGACTCTAGGCCCTTTTTCACCTGTACCCCAGCACGTGCCGCCTTGGATGCAGCGGCCGCAGCGCGGCGCGCTGCCGCATCTGCCGCGCACCAGTCTCCGCCATAGGCGGCTCGAGTCACCAGCCATCCTCCAGAGCTCAGCCAGTTTTTCCCGCCGAAGGCGGAAAGCCAGAGCACGGAGGGGGATGGGCAGGTATGGCAGTTTTTTGCGGCAGGTCTGGCTGCCCTCTCTGGCCTTCGCGCACAGCTACTCTGCACAGCTCGGCCTCTCCTGAAAGACGGGGTGGAGCCCACATGGGAGGGGTCGGCCACGCCCTCCTGAAAGACGGGGTCGAGCCCACATGGGAGGGTGTGGTGCCAGCGCCAACTGGCTTCGGCTCAATACGCACAGCGCAATTCGCAGACTCGCCGCGGCTGAGTCAAGGCTGCGGCAAGCATATATGCCTCGTGGGAGGACCGCGGCACTGTGCCTTGGCTTGTTTCTTTGGCCCTCGTCCAGGTGTAGCAGGGTCCCCTTGGTCCCTGTGTGCCTGTGAGGGGCCACACGGAGGTGGGTCTCTGTTGTCTGGTCTCGGCTAGCGCCCAGGCACACCCACCTCCCTGTCGCGGACGGCCCGTCCAGGCCTCTCAGCTGCAGCACTGTGCCTTGGCTTGTCTCTCTGGCCCTTGTCCAAGTGTAGCAGGGTCCCCTTGGTCCCTGTGTGCCTGTGAGGGGCCACACGGAGGTGGGTCTCTGTTGTCTGGTTTCGGCTAGCGCCCAGGCACACCCACCTCCCCGTCGCGGACGGCCCGTACAGGCCTTTTAGCTGCAGCGGCCGCCCTTCAGCACGGCAATACCATTCTGGCCCTCCTTCCCCCCCCCGCCTCTTATGAGATCCCCCGCCCTTCCTCCAGTCCAGCTCTCCTCCCCTGGAGGTTTGGACAGCCGCACGGCGGCCTGGCCAATTTGGCCCTCCTTCCAGCTCTTCCCTCTCCTTCAGCCGACCGAAACTGGACGGCACACCTAGGCAGGTCTCTCCTTTTCCAGCCTTGCACTGCTCTCTGCCTCGAGGGCTGCCCTGCTATGGGCAACGAAGCAGGGCCCCGCTGATGTCTCTCTTCGCACGGCGCTGCAAACTCCTCCTCTCTCTTCTAAGATTCCTCTCTTCCCCTCCTGCAGCGCCTATACCTCTCTCCCGACAGTTTTCGGGACGAGAGCGGAAGCAGCTCAGCGTCCATGCTCTCGGGCTTCTCGTGTGCAGCCTGTGCCAGTCCTGTTGGCCGCTGCGCTCAAGCTACTTGCAACGAGCTTAGTACAGTCAAAAAAAGTCTCCTCCTCCTCCTCCTCCTCCTCCTCCTCCTTTCTACTCCTTGTGTGCTCGTCTTCCTTAACTTCCTCCTCCGCCCTCTCCCTCGCTCCGCCCCTCTTCTCTGCCCTGCCAACCCCCGCGGCGCCTGCGGCCCCCGCCCTCTCACAAGAGAAGGGGGGCGGCCAGTGCTGCTCGTGCACCAGCCGCTCGAGGCGAGAGAGCCCCAGCCTCTCTCGGCGGCGACGACAAGGGCGAACAACCCAGGGGCGGGCACCACGCGCATTCGCCCGGGAGCCTAGCCGAAGACGTGGCTCATCGGCGCCCCTGGATGCATGAAGACATTGCTCCCCCCTGGGCTATTGGCACCTGTCGTCGCCTCTGACTCCCGCGTGCCACACACGTGCTGAGCATCCCCGCCCCCCTCGTGCGTGCAGATTACCTGGGCCGCCTAACTTGCGCATTGCGCCGCGCGATACGCGGTCATCTTTGCGCCCTCGCGCCATCGCCATGGAGAAGGGCGCCTCTCAAACCCAAGCCGCGATGCGCGACGCGCGACTATCTTCGCGCCCCTGGGGTGACCTACATTGCACGTCAAAGGAATTGCCGTAAATTCGCGTTTTGCATACCTCCACTTGGCGCATACACGTGTGAAGACGCGTGCCACATGCAGGCGTGTGCCAGACGCATGTTGGGTACCCCCCCTTCGCGCGCGTAGTTTGCGGATGAAGAGTCCGCCAGTAGAAATCCAATGCTCCCGTTGTCGTCTACAGGGGTGACAACACCTGCCGAATGCACGCGTGCCAGAAGCATGTGCCAAATGCACACGTGCCAGATGCATATTCGATATCCCCCCCCCTGCGGGCATGTATTTTTGCAACGTAGTCTGGCGACCCCATGGTGGATACCCTTCTTGACGCATGTTCGACCACCAATACCTGCGCGCACGTAGTATTACGTGTTACGATCTCAGCGCCCCCGTGCTGGATAGTTTCCTTGACGCCTACATGCGTGAATATGGATGCTAAATGCAGGCGCGTCAGACGCATGTTCGATGCTTTCCCATCTTGTATGCCCCCTCATGGCGCCTACACGCGTGAAAACACATGCCAAACACATCCGTACTAGACACATGCTCGATGACCCTTGTGCGCGCACGTATGTTTACGTATGAATACCCTGGCGCCTCCATGTTGGATATCCCCCTTCGCACATACGCACGTGAAATTAGGCGTACGCGCCAGACGCATTCTCGATTAACCCCCTGCGCGCATGTATATCTACGTGTGAAGAATCTGGGGCCCTCATTTTGGATTTCCCCCCTTGGCGCCCAAATGCGTGAAAACACGTGCCAGACTCACGCGTGCCAGACGCATGTTTTATACCCCCCCTCCATTCACGTATCTGTACCAGTCAAGAATCCGGCGCCTACATGTTGGATATCCTGCCCCGCCTGGGCGCCTGGCGACCGCACACGTGAAATCACGTGCAGAATGCACGCCGAGGCGGATGTTGCATACCCCCCTTTGGAGCCCGCCCCTTCTCGCGGACATACTCTTTCGCGTGAAGCATCCGCCGACGAATCCGAACACACACTGCTTTACACATCCCTGGCCTATGGGCCCAGGGCCCGTCGGACAAGGGGAACCGTGGGCCAGAGCCCTTGCTGGGAGAAAAGGGCTGTCCAAAAGCCTCGACCCCTCCTCCTCCTCCTCCTCCTCCTCCTCCTCCTCCTCCTCCTCCTCCTCCTCCTCCTCCTCCTCCTCCTCCTCCTCCCCCTCCCCCACATCATCCTCCTTCCGCTCATTTTCGCCCTCCTCCTCCCCCCCTCCTCTGGGGGCACGACCCTGGCCGCGTGCGGTGGAAGTCCTCCCTCATGACCTCGGCGAGTGCCGCCGGAGAGGGCCAGCTCCGGGAGCTGGGGCTTTTAGGGGTCAATGGCCTCCTCCTCCTCCTCCATTTTCGCTCCTCCGTTCCTCTCCCTCCTCCTCGCCCCTCGCTGCTCCTCCTTCCCTCTCCCTCCTCCATCCCCCTCCTCCTCGTACTCCTCCTCCATTCCTCCTACTCTTCAATCCCCCTCCCTCCTCCATCTCTCCTCCTCCTCCTCCTCCTCCTCCTCGCCCTTCCTCCTCCTCCTTCTCCTCTTCCTCCTCCTCCTCCTCCTCCTCCTCCTCCTCCCCTCGTTCCCCTCCGCATCCTCCTCCTCCTCCTCGCTCTCCACGCGTGCCGATTCACAAGACAAGAGATATGTCATGCAGCCTCGGGGAGCCCTGGATCACGTGCTTTGCCCTGAATGTGCGGCGTGTTGGATGGGACTCCCGCCTATAGCCTTTGGCTCACGACCAATGTCTGCAGGGTGCGCGGTTCTGGGGCTTCAATCTTGACATCCGTGGGAATGCAAGTAGCCACGCGGCAATAGGGACATCCGTGGGAACCGCCTGGCCACGCGTGAAAAGCATCCCGTCGAGCACTGTTGTGACCCCTGTGGTAGCGCGTGGCGTGCGTTTGCGGCGCCAGTAAATGCCAAAAAGGCTACCCCCCTGTTCGTGACCTCCTAGCGTGCCCTTCTAGAGGTCAAGGCCGGTCGAGGGCCGATGGGGTCACTCCGGCGAAGGGTCTCTCTCAACGGGGGCGTCCAAGAGGGGAGCTCGCAACTCATGGCCCGAGGCATGAGTGCGGACGAGGAGGGGACCAGGGAACGTGCTGAAAGAAGAGGAGGAAGCCATGACATCCAGGCCGATATCATGGCCCCCGCCATGAAATACCCCCCCTGGTCATCACCCTCCTCCTGGACGCCTCCGATCCTTGCGCGCCCTCCGAGCGTGCCCTCCGAGAGGACGCGGCTGGCCGAAGGTTCGCTCTGGCGAAGGATTGCTCATGCGCGGGCGATGGTAGCACCCAAGTCCGCGTCGCTTCCGACCTGTCGAGTGCTCCGAAGTGGGGGCGGCTCGTGGGGGGGATCGAGAGCTTCGGGGCGGGGGCCCGAGGGGGGCCGGCCGAGGGCTCGCTCCGGCGAAGGGTCGCTCACACGCGCGCGGCCGGCTCCTCCTCCCATTCCATGCCCCCCTCGTTCGCCGCTGCCCTGGCGGCCCCGCCGTGCTCGCCCCCCACGATCACTAGCCAGGCGTCGCCGTCGCTGGCGGCGTGCAGCCCCTCTGCATTGGGGGGAGAGGAGGAGGATGATGATGATGAGGAGGAGGAGGCGGAGGCGAAGCAGGAGGAGGAGGACGAGGAGGAGGAGGTGGAGGAGGATGAGGATGACCAGTGTAAACCCAAGAGTCAACAACGATGTTGAAGTAACCCTCCCTCCAAGCTCCCTCTTCATAGGCCCCATACAACGGTTCATTTCCATTGAGGGAACTGCCGCGTTGGAAGACAACCGTTTGAAGACTTTGAAGCATGTCAAAACATTGTTCTCGGGACTTTCCACGCCACGGATCAACCTGACTACTGCGTCCTGACGATCTGGAATCGTGCCAGGACGCCATGTTTGGGACTTCGACACAGCGAATCAACATAACTGTTGCGCCCGCATAATCCTGAATCCTTCCAAAAATACTTTCTGGTACGTTGACCATGGGCATCCGTGAAACTCTTGCAAATGCTTTAAACGAATGTGCGCGGCGCTGAAACGATGACTACATTGTGAAAACCACCCACTCTCAATCCGTGAAACTCTTGCGAATGTTTAAGACGAATGTGCGCGGCATAAGGCGAGAACCACATTTTGAAAACCACCCGCCCTGAATCCGTGAAGCTCCTGCAATATTTGACAATAAATGTGCGCAGCGCTGGAGCGAGAACCACATCTTGAAAACCACCCGCCCTCAATCCGTGAAGCTCTTGCGAATGTTCGCAAGGAATGTGCGCGGCGCTAGAAAGCGAGAACCACAATTTGAAAACCACACGCCCTCAATCCGCGAAGCACTTGCAATTCGTTGTAGCCGAATGTGCGCGGCGCCAAATGCGAGAACCACATGTTGAAAACCACCCGCCCTCAATACGTGAAGCTGTTGCAAATGTTCAAAATAAATGTGCGCGGCGCTAAAGCGAGAACCGCATTTTGAAAACCACCCGCCCTCAATACGTGAAGCTCTTGCGATTTTTTACGATGAATGTGCGCGGCGCTGACGCGAGAACCACTCATTGAAAACCACTCGCCCTCAATCCGTGAAGCTCGTGGAACTTTTCAGAACGAATGCGCGCGGCGCTCAAGCGAGAACCATACTTTGAAAATCATTCGCCCTCAATCCGTGAAGCTCTGGCGAATGTTTAAAGCCACCCGCCCTCAATCCGTGAAACTCTTGAAACATTTGAGACGAATGTGCGCGGCGTTTCGGCAAGAATCACATTTTGAAAACCGCCCGCCCTATCCGTGAAACTCCTGCAATTTGTTACAACGAATGCGCGGCGCTACGGCGAGAACTACATTTTGAAAACTACCCGCCCTCAATCCGTGAAGCTCTGACCAATGTTTAAAACGAATGCGCACGGCACTAAAGCGAGAACCTCACTTTGAAAACCACCCACCCTCAATCCGTGAAGCTCGGGGACTTGTGTAAAACGAATGTGCGCGGCGCTAAGGTGAGAACCACATATTGAAAACCACTCGCCCTCAATCCGTGAAGGTCTGGCATATCCTTAAAACGAATGTGCGCGGCGCTAAGACGAGAACCACATTTTGAAAACCACCGGCCCTCAATCCGTGAAGTTCTTGAATCCGTGAAGTTCTTGCACATGTTTTAAGCATGTGCGCGGCGCTAAATCGAGAAACACATGTTCAAAAGCACCCGCCCTCAATCGGTGAAGCTCTTGTAACTGTTTAGAACGAATGTGCGCGGCGCTAAGGCGAGAGCCACATTTTGAAAACCACCCGCCCTCCATGTGTGAAACTGTTGCCATTTCTAAGCTTCAAAGGCGTGGCTGGCGAGGAAGTCTCAAGCGAAACGCCTGGTCCGCACTAAACATTGGCCTCGCGGTGCGACATAGAGAACTTGTTTATAACGACACGGAATGGAGGAGGGCGAGGACGAGGATGAGAAGGAGAAGTAGGATTAGGAGAATAATGAAGAGGTAGAAGAGGAGGAGGAGGAGGAGGAGGAGGAGAAGGAGGAGAGGGAGGAGGAGGAGGAGGAGAAGGAGAACGCGGAGGAGGAGGAGGATGGAGGGAGAAAGAGAAAGAACAGAAAGAGGAGGATGAGGAGATGGAGGAGGAGGCGGAGGAGGAGGCGGAGGAGGAGAAGGAGAAGAATGAGGAGGAGGAGGAGGACGAGGACGAGGAGGAGGAGGAGGCCGAGGAGGAGGAGGAAGAGGAAGGCGGAGGAGGCGGAGGAGGAGGAGGAGAAGAAGGAGGAGAAGGTGGAATAGAACATGTGTCAAAGCCCCTCGCAAAGGAGGAGGAGGCGGAGGAGGAGGAGGAGGAGAATGAGGAGGAGGAGGAGGCGGAGAAGGAGGAGGAGGAGGAGGACGAGGAAGAGGAGGTGGAGGAGGCGGAGGCGGAGGCGGAGGAGGAGGAGGTGGAGGAGGAGGAGGAGGAGACGGAGGAGGAGGAGGAGGAGGAGGAGGAGGAGGAGGCGGATAAGGAGGAGGATGCGGATGATGATGAGGAGGAGGAGGGCGGAGGAGAAGGAGGAGGAGGAGGAGGACTGTGAATGCAGGATGCGGAGGAGGAGGAGGAGGAGGAGGAGGACCGCTCGGACGACCAGGGGTCAGGTCGAAAAAGCGGGTGGCTCTTCGCATCTGCAAGTTGCTCACAAGTTGCACGAAGCCCAACGTGAATGGATTTACAACTTTGCTTACCGATGGTACGCACAGCTGCCACTCCTTTCCCAGGTTTTGACTACTGCGGGTGGCGAGTGCCCCGCAGCTTACACACAACAACGTTCCTCGTCCTGAAACCACAATATCGTGGGACGAATGCACATACGAAACTCAGACAAAACACATTCTGGACCTGCCCGGCATCGGGGCGCTCCCTGGACCAATGTTTCGCAAGAGCACTCTTTTCGGCGCAGCGCGGCAATGGCAATCCGCACGCGCGCTCAGGCGGCCTGGGAAACGGTAGACGCTAATTGTCCAGCGGCACGATTCGTAATAACACAACACATATCCAAGAAAGCTTGGGCCGGCGTGGTGCCGTGCAAATCCTTAGCGACGACCGACAAACAACACTTGCACTGAGATCTACCGCCCGCTCCTGCAGGCTCCGTCTGGTGAGATGTATCGGAAGCTAGGCGAGGGCTGCTAAAACCGTGGCTGTCAAAACGGCCCTCCCGGAAGGAAAAAACAACTTCCCGGAATGAGGCGCGGCACGCGAAACAGTCAACTGGCTTCTTCCCGGAAGACGAAGACAACTTCCGGAGGTCGATTTTAGCAGCCACGGATTTAGCAGCCCTTGCCCGGCTTCCGAATGTAGCAGCCACGGCACGTTTGAGTTTCGCCCCGAGAGGCTTCGGTCCACCCATCTTAGGCTTCGGCTTGGCCTTCGCTCTCGGGAGCCCTCGTCTCGAAGGAGGTCGGGGGACCTGGCTGCAGCTACTGTGACCGTCCACAACTTAGGAGAACGTCGGTCGCTCTGATTCTGATTGCAAGTGTTATAGGGTAAGTCCTAGCTTCGCTGCTTCTACTTCGTCAGCTTCCAACTGCACACGAGAGGCAGTCTGCGCAGCACGTTTATCGGCATGGAGTTTCCCGATGCCAACACAAACCAGGGTTCTTTTCATAACATCTCTTTCTGGGTCAGGTGCGGTTGGATCTTCATCATCGTGGCCGTGCGCGATTCGAGGGAAACGCCAATTCTCTTCAAAACGTTCCTGCGCGTGCCAGGGTACATGTAAGTTTCGACATTCTCGAAACCTAAGAGCTACCTGTTACGTAGA